AGCATGCTTTGGGCAAGAAGACTGTGGATAAACTTTTATTTGCAATGGCTAAACCAAAGGTAAGACCTGCTAAGTCACAAAAGGTAAAACACAGTTTAACCGCATTTCCAAATGAAGCCAGTAAAGATGGAATTCTGATGTGGTGCTTTTAGCATTAAATTTTATGACCCATCTTAAAAATCTGATCATTTTGCTTGATAAATTGAATACATCTTTGGTGAATAAAAGTATAAATTTCTTGCAAAAAAAAAAAACAGTAGTGTTCATATTTGTTTTTGTAAATATCTCAATTTGTGTGCTCTGCTTTTCTTCAGCACCTGTTAGTCACATATCCATACCAGTCAGTGATCACCTTCGGCGGCTGCAAGGAAGATTTCATGCTAGTGGTCAGCCAGATTAAAGAGCATGCTTTGGGCAAGAAGACTGTGGATAAACTTTTATTTGCAATGGCTAAACCAAAGGTAAGACCTGCTAAGTCACAAAAGGTAAAACACAGTTTAACCGCATTTCCAAATGAAGCCAGTAAAGATGGAATTCTGATGTGGTGCTTTTAGCATTAAATTTTATGACCCATCTTAAAAATCTGATCTGAAGTGTGTGGGGGGTGAAATCAGAACTTTAAAACAGCTTAAAACCTGAGTTGAACTCCTACACCCCCCTTTGAAACCACTATCTGAAAGACATCCAATGATAAAAACAGGTTTTTCAATGAGTTTCACTCATACAGGATTACGTGATACAGGAAGTGCTAATGAGCTCGTATATCTGTGGTTTGTTGTGTCTTTTTTGGCCTGATACAGTAAGAGCAAGTTTAATGTTGAAATATTCATCTACTAAAGACCTCCTGGTTCACTCTCTCTCTCTCTCTCTCTCTCTCTCTCTCTTTCAATGCTGTAGATCCTGGAACTGACGCTCCTCATGGCTAGTTATATTAACTGCTGGACATCCAACTTACTACAGTAAGAGCAAGTATAATGTTGAAATATTCATCTACTAAAGACCTCCTGGTTCACTCTCTCTCTCTCTCTCTCTCTCTCTCTCTTTCAATGCTGTAGATCCTGGAACTGACGCTCCTCATGGCTAGTTATATTAACTGCTGGACATCCAACTTACCAGGGGCCGGAAACCAGACTCCAGGCTCAGCGCTGGGGCCTCAAGGAGACAGGAAGCTCTGGGACATTGACAGCCGACACTTCCCCTCAATGACATACACCACCAATGGCCCCACTCTCCTTTAAAACCTCAGTCTCCAGGTGGCTGGATACATCACATGGTCTGCAAGCAAATAATAACACATTTTAGGAAATGTTTAGATCATTGACTTTGGGAAACAATTCAAAGATTTTGTGTTTGAAGTTTCAGACCATAAACTGCACAAGTTATTTATTGTGCAAAACAGACACCACTTGCACACTGTTCGTAGACCAAATACAAAAAATAAACACATCGCAAAGTGGGTTTTTAAATGGAAACTCATAGAGACCCACCCTGAGAAGATCACCCACAAAGTCAGAGCAGATCCAAGAGTATTTCATTCTTGAATGCTAAAAAGTTTGGCGTTCATTTTTAAGGAATTAGAGCTTTTAAACTGGACGTCCAGTTAAAGGCACGGTTTGACTTTTTCATTTGTGCGTAACATGATTTTATTTCTGTCTTTGTTTGAATTTTTAAATGTTTAGTTAGTTAAAGTTTTTTTTGTGTAACGGTACATTAATTAATGGTACCATCAGTCAATTGAAGTTTATACAGTGAATATCAGAATGTGTAGAAACATTACACAGATCATCTCTAATACACATTTAGCGGAAACTAGATAACCAGTATATAAAGGACAGTCTTATGTGGTACATGACTCAAGAGCAGTCTATTAGTGTAACAGGGTTGATGAATTCTTCTCATCTATCCAAGCAGGAAATGTGAAGTTATAGAGTTTGGGTTAAAAGTTTTTCTCATTTGTTTTGTGCCATTTTCCATAGTACTACCAAACATAATGCTTAATCTGAGCCAAACTGTTCATGTAGTGACAAGTTTTATGTTATACAGTAGTTGCAGAAAGGCACACATTTAGGCTACTTCATATTTGCTCACTAGCCATAGCCTTGCCTCTTGTATAAAGAAAAAAACAAGAACACAGCCACACATTTCTCAACATGACGTTAATATGTGCAGGATCATATATTTTCGTGAAGTTTGTAGCTTGAGAATGGCCATAGTTATACTGATATTATTATGACGTAACTTTTTATTAGATTTTTTTTTTTAAACATTAGGTCTTAGCATATTTACCATAAAGTGCATGTTTTCAACCATAGAAAATGTTAAACTTTTTTTTCTCCATTATTCATAAAACTTAAGAATAAATACAAGTATAGTCTACTTTGTTCAATAAAATAAAAATTGTAATAATTATCAAGAGTGTTTCAGAAACTGATAATTGATAATAAGTAGGTAAAGACACACACTGTACCAATAATACGGCAGATTTTGAAAGATTGGAGGAGTTTTGAAAAAGAGCTGTAATAATGACTTGAATTATTCTATGAATCAAACCACTGTCTCTGCATTTTGAATATTTATTTTGTCATTTTTTTTTAACTTTGCTTTTTTTAGTCTAACCAATTTGTGTTTATTCAGTTCTTTTCTAGAAACCTTGAAGCATTTCAAGTGGCCTAGAAAGTGTATCACTTTTGTAATTGTTAAAATCCAAGCCTAAAAATGTGGTAAAAACATTTAGGAGAACTTCACATTTTATGTGCATATAGAGGTTGTTGCAAATAAAAAATGAATTGTTTTGGTGTTTCCTTTTTTATTCATTTTTGCATTTCATTTCAAGGATTTGTTGACATTATATTATCTTTATGCACAGTTTGACTATTGTTAAACTCTTCATGTTCATCTGTGTGTAAAATACTTCTCTATTCCATTATATTATCAAGAAGTCATTTTCTTTTAGGCTTTCTGTGTGCCCTTAGCAATCATAGCAAAGTCTCATACAAATTTACAGAACAGTTTGTTTAGAATTACTTAAAGATAAATAAAAAAGATGAATAACTGAAAAAGTTGACAGATTTGCTGGCCACCGTGTAGGTTTATAGACGGGGTGGGGTTTTGTCTGCTCTCTCACTCCAGGCAGGTCAAAGTGCTAATGGCATTTCCCTGCCAATAGCTTGCTATAAATTCACAATTCGAAAATTAAATGGGGAAAAAAAGGTGTATGTTCGAAGCTAATACGGTAATACGCTCATTACTCGGCCAAGACTCTCTCTAAGCAAGTTGTAACATTGAATTAGGGAAAGCCTGCTTTTCATTGTTGCCTTCTGCAAAGGAAGAAAAAAAGCCGTGGCTCACTATATGATTTGAAAGAATCCCAGACACATTTTAAATGACAGCATTTAGTTTACGAGACATCAAGAAAATTATTTTAACCTCAGAGTTCTGTTTTAAAACTTAAGAATTTGAGCATCAGAAACAAAATACAATGACATATCTGCATGTCATCTACAGATTTCTTATTCATGACATTTTCTTTAACAGTCAATGTTTGAAATTTTTTTAAGGTATATATTTATTTTAGATATAGATCTATATTAATTATATATGTATATATATATATATATATATATATATATATATACACACACACACACATGTGTACGTGTGTGTATATATATGTATGTACGTGACCCTGGAGCACAAAACCAGTCTTAAGTCGCTGGGGTATATTTGTAGCAATAGCCATAAATACATTGTATGGGTCAAAATTGATTTTTCTTTTATGCCAAAAATCATTAGGATATTAAGTAAAGATCATGTTCCATGAAGATATTTTGTAAATTTCCTACCATAAATATATCAACTTAATTTTTGATTAGTAATATGCACTGCTAAGAACTTCATTTGGACAGATTTAAAGGCGATTTTCTCAATATTTAGATTTTTTTGCACCCTCAGATTCCAGATTTTCAAATAGTTGTATCTTGGCCAAATATGTGATGTATAAATCTCAATTTGGAAAAATTGACCCTTATTTTTGTGGTCCAGGGTCACATATGTGTGTGTGTGTGTGTATATATATATATATATATATATCAGCTAACTTCATTGTTTTATTCACATTCAGTTTTTTTCTAATCCACTATTTATCACCATCTATTTTTTTCCACTGTCTGACCCAGCATAATTTTATATATATATATATATATTACCCCAGTGCACTAGCTGAAAGAATGACCAGAGCGCAGGTGTGTCCAAACTTTTGACTGGTAATGTATAGCTGGTGCTTAAAAAGTTGTAGGCCTATTTAGCCTACATTGTATTAGATTGTAGAAAAAGCCAATCTCAGTGCTTGGACATAGTCAGGACAATAAGGCATAGTACAGTAGTAAATTTATAACTTATTCTGGCTTTCATTTGTGAAATGATGGAACATTTAGCTTGAAGATTAAGACCAACTTAGAACAATTTATATTGACTTTATCTAAAATACAAGTGTTTTAAATAAGTATTTAAGTAAAAGTATTTCGACACTTAAGTCACAGTTAACGTATGGAATAAAATGCATGAATACGATTACATAAACTATCCAACAAGTTAGCACTTATGTTTAAGTGTATAAACATCACAAGCCTAAAATTTAACAAAAAAAAAATATTAGGTTTTAATTGAAAAGGCAAAACATGAAATAAAATGTTAAAACTTAAGACAAACGTCTTTTGGTTATCTGCTAGGAAACGTGTGAACTTGAAGCTAACTGAGACTTCAAAACAGGAAATTGTTAAAAATTCTTAAGGAAATGTTTTGTAAATTATTAAAATAACTGAAAAATGGCCCAGGAAAAAGCTTTAGCAATATGTGCTTGCAGATGCAACTTGTTATGGTGTTTTGTTATCCCCATGACATGTTTCAGTGTGAAATAGCCTACATCTAGGGCCACGGTAAATAAGCAATATCTTTTGTTTATGAGCGTATTATTTGTATTATATGACATAATTCGTCCTCATTGAACTCTGACTGAATTAGAGTTGAGCTAAAATTAACTCGCATTGCCCAAGAGCGCGCTCACACACTGAAACCCTTCACTTCAGCTCGCGCCAGGACGCCGCGTGTCGGGCCAGCTTCGGACTTCCGCTGCTTCTCCACAAAGCGAGGAACTACAATAAACAAACTGTACTGAACCCCCAAACTGAAGTAAGGTCTAACCACCTGCAGTCCTCAGCACTTTATAATGCGGCTTATGGCCACCTTAAAATAATAACAGACTACTCTAGGCCTATTCATTATCGACACATTTTATTTCCTCGAGACCGTAAATAATAATACACTAAAATACGTTTGAAATAACAAAGAGGTTTAAAACATGGCAACGCTGCTATAACTGTTTGTTTTCCTCAACACAGGCCCGGAATCAGAAAATGACATCTAAAAAGCAGAGTTTACTGAGAGAAGCGTCTCACCAGATCACAGCGGGCGGGTCTGCAGGTAAGTTACGACGCGCTTCTAGTTTCTATTTCACACAATCCACAAACTTTGTTTACCAACTCGTAAAGTGTCGCATTCAACACCAGTTAAGGCTGGGTAGAGTGAAATGTTACTTTATGTATGACCTGGTCACTGGGATTGGATCAGGTCTGTGCTTGGCTTCTCTCAGGTTTGGACTGACTCTCCAAAACTGCTTCCTCACCCCCTCCCTCCCCTCCCTCCCCTCCCTCACAGCCTTTCCATTCAGGGATATACAAAGAAAATGGGGCATGTGTTAAAGGCTGCCCTCGTCGACGTGTAGAAAACCGTTCTCGAAATCGGGCAAAAACGCAATTAAACCATAATAAACATTACAAAAACAAACAGAGGAGATTTATTGACTGCTACGACTAATTACCGCTGGAGGAAATGTGCAGGATCATAATGTCACAAGAAATCAGTTGACTGCAACCAGGCATGAAGTATAATGGTAACATATGCAGCAAGGAGCTTAGACTCTCCAAACAGATCATATACCTCCCACAGGTACCTGCAGTTGATGGAAGCAACTCTTAAAAGAGCAAACACCTCTCAAATGGGCGCAATATGCATTTGTTTACACCACGAATGGTTTATTTTCTTCTGGGGATAAAACAAAACTCCTCTGAGTCCCATACGCCTACAAGAACTACTGTTGAACTACTGTTTGCATGAGCCGGACATGAATTGTCGCTGTTGTGTCAGCTGTTTGTTAAAACGGGGCCTTGAAGGGATGGAGTTTAGTCTGCCTGGGTAATGTACGAGCCAGCCAGGGGCCGCTGACGTTATCTTAATGGTATGATTTATGGAGGTCGCACGCTGAACTGAGCACAGGAGCTGCGACAGATGGGGACATGCGTGGGAGACGGTTGTACTGTAGACGGTTCGCTCAAACACACATAAGCACGCACACACTCATCCATCATGCATGCTGTGTTGCTGTAAGCAATGAGGATAATTGCGGTGTTATGGTAAGAGTAGCGTGATTATGATTGTTCGACATGGGAGGCTATGTCTGGGCTAGTGCTCGCACTTATTTTCCGGGGGAAATTATTAAAATGAGGGCCTTTGGAGCAGACTGAAAGGAACTGGCTACAATAAATACAATATGCTCTATCGCCTGATCACGATGGTGATCTAATCAACGATGTTAATGTTAACCACATTCATTTTTGATAAAACATACTCTCTCAGTGTTTGAATGACGTTTATGCCTTTGGCGAAGATTCACGTCAAGCAAATTAGCTCATTTTGAAATGCATTGAAGTGAATTTTCTCTGAAGAAATCTTGGCGTATCTAACGCGAGGGTAAACTCTGGCTTTAAAGTCGTCATGAAATCAAAGTTGACCCTGTTTACTTGTGTCGTGAAGAAAAATTATTTCTGTTCATAGTTTTTCATTAAATAGCAACTTCTTGACTCTGAAACGACTTTCCTTTTAGATGAAGCCACATAGGAACTATTATTAATTAATGCGGCCTTTCTAAAATCTTGCCATTAGTTAATGAAGTAATTGAATGCCTGTAAATCTAATAACGTTTACAGTTGAATTGCAAATAATAAGATAAGAATTAAAATAAGTGTTTCCATTGAGATACATCAAGATCCTCTCAAGGGTGAACTTGACCTTCAGCCTTCATGTCTTTGATCAAATAAATTCCTCAAAGTGTTTGAGGAGGGGAATGGTTCTCCACAATCTAGTGCAAACTTGTGTCCAGGTTCATTTTGGTACGTAATACCCATGTTTCACAATGTATAAAATCCAAGACGCATATCATTTCGATATGTGTCACATTGTTTACTTTGTTCAATTCTTCACACTTTTTACACAGTCTCTCATATAAAGAAAAAATCAGGTGGACATAACATGAAAACAAAATTTGAGTGAAGGAAAAAAAGAGTCACTATGTCAGAGATTTCAGAGATCTGCCATCATCCTGGCCGAACACACTGTATTTACATACAGTACCGTAATACAGCACATGGCAGCAATAACATAGCTGGAAAGGAAACCGGCTAACAAGCTATGCTTAATTGAGCACTTAGTCTAAGTAGTCAAGGGCCATAGTTTGAATGACCCTGTAGGAAAATGAAACTGTACGGTAGATGCTACACTGTGTGTGCATGAATTTGCGTATAAGCATTCCCTTTTTCTTGGACTGCTGTCCAGTTGGCTGTTGTTCGACCTTGTAATTAGCGCAGAATGCTGATATGTCTTTTGGCTGGAGAAGAGCTTTTGATGGAGTGATCACAACATTGCATTGATCATAAAGTCTCGTATGAACATATTCCCATAAAGCTCGGTCTAAAAATAACCTTCCAAGGAGCTCTCTCTTAGCTCTTTAACTGCACTTTAAATTTGTAATTGTTTCTCAATCCGCCATGCTGTAATTTGCAATGACTTAACTGTGGTGGAAGACTTGTGTTTTGCTCTGTTTGAGAGACAAATCATTGTCCCGTTTTGGCTTTATATTGTCTGGAAACTTTGGGTGAATCTCTGCCCAGAGTTACAGTTCTGCTGTCGGCCTGGTTTCTCATGTGAAGAAGAAGCAAACATCTCAGAGGACTTTTGGTCAAATACTAACGTCATAGATGAATCCAAGTCCAAAAGTAATATATACATCTTTTAACTGAATCTAATCTGAGACGCTAAATTGTAGAGAATTACAAACCTAGTGATTTTTTTTCAGTAGAAAAGCTTGAATTATAAATAAGCATAATAAGTACTGTCAAAAACAACAGTCAAAAATTTTTTGATTGAGCATGTCGATGTTTATGTAACTTTTTTTAGGTTTATGTGCATGCATGTGCTAAATATTATTGTCGATGCATTCTTTAAAGAAATTAATACTTTTCTTCAACAGAAGAAAATACATTTATAAATGCTGTTCTATTGAACAATTCTGTTCATTAAATGTAGCCTTGGTAATCATGTCACATCTTTCAAAAACATTAAAAAACTACCTTACAGACAATGTTCAAAGCAATTGCAGAAATTACTAAGCAAAGCGAAGATAGTTCTGACTAAATGTCTGACAAAATTTGTTTGCAGATGCCATTTAGGTTCATACTTTTTAATGCAATGCAATGATTAAATTTTTAAGTAAATATTTAATTTAGCATGCAAATATTTTTTAAGGGCCATCATTGATTTTACATATGTGTTTCTCCCTCAGCATGTTTAGAGAACCATGCGACTGCAGGCTTTTTTAGGTAGTCAGAGCACAGGTCTGCAGCAGCGAGACAGCCTCTTCAGCTGGGTTAACTGGCTCAAGATGAGCGGTGCGTGGGCAAGAGCTGAAATCATAATGTGATTTGTTGTGCTTGGGAGCCAATTTGAGTCTTTTTGGGAAGGTTCCCTACCCGGTCACCCGCTTGTGCGCTTTGCGAGGAGACCTTAATTAGAGAAGCTCAAATTTATAGACACTTTTGATTATAGCTGATCTTGAGTTGTAAAAGGATGACATTGCCTAGGAGGGGGACATTGTCAAGGGTGGCCGCACAATTTGATAATAAGAACCAAAGCTTAGGAGAAAGGCTTGTTTTGAATTTGTTTACACGTTTATTATCCTTTCAAAAGGAGCGCGTCATCCAATAAAATCAAGACAGACACAGATGTCACAATCAAGAGGCAATAAGAAGGGATGGGGGGGAGAAATTAAGCGGTTTCCATTATGTTTGAAATAAGGGCAATTATACAATGGAATAAAGATATAAAAAAAATTATGTTGGGTCATGGAAAAGTGCCCTAGTTTTGAATTCCTGTTCACTCATGTTACCATGTGGCAGAGGATGGGCGCTGGCAGGAAAGTGGGAGGGGATTATTGCACAATTTGATGCTGACTGGTTTATAAATTAGTTTTGAATGATTGACAGGATCTTAATTTAACAGAAGATGTGGCCAGAGAAGCTTTTTAGGACTGAATCATAAAAAAAAAAAAATTAAATGGTGCCGCAAGGGTTGTTTCAGATTGATCTGATCCATGATTAAATCCTCACTTTGATTGGGGATTTTTTTTTCCAGCCTTGGAAAAAGGCTGCATCCTAACCAGATAACATGTCCACTAAAATTTTTGGTCAGCCTCTAAATCTTAAGCTGTCATAATGTTATAATAATCACTTCACTCTTCTGACTGGACTCCCCCTGTTTTCTCTCATAATGGGGTTGTTTTAGTCAACCGTCTTGCTTGCAGTTGCCACACTCTTTGATAGGTGGCAGTAGAGAGCTATTTTGAAGTTTCACTTCCTCTCTTTCCTTCTCTCCAGCCTTTATAAATCTTTCACCAAGCCATGACGTTCCATGTGGAGGTTGAGGCTGAAAATTGAAAGCTTTTTATAGTAATAGAGAAGATTTATTTCGTTATAATTATGTAGGAGAATCGTATGGAACGGGTGATGGTATAACTTTTGATCTAGAAGCTTTTTGCATCACATAGGTCATTTTTCCGTCCAATCCAATGGACTGGTTTCTGTTATGAATTTTCCGTCACCTCACAAAAATGAAACGCAACTTCATGTTCTTATTCTGAAGGTTTTAGCCTCATCCAAAATGGGTCTCAGGACTTCAAATTCGCTCTGGACTTAATATGATGTGATCAAATAGCACTGATTTCATTTCCCACAAGAGCAATGGCTACTAGCCAGTGGCTTTGCTAACATTCCATAAACACTCCAACCTCTCATTTGCCCGTCACTGTCTAACGCTCGGGCAAAACACCATGGCAGGTGGTACTGCTCATCCTTACCACAGTCCGACATAGCTGGCCAGCACATTCTATTCCAGGCGCTGAAGTCCTGAGAACATGTTCATACCAACGTCAATATCTCTAGATGTTTGGTAGAGGAATAAGTGAGATCAGAAGCAAAGGGAAAAGGCATTTTTATCCTCGTGCAGTGTCTCGTACAGAATGAGACGTGCATGCAGAAATCAGTGGTGCAGAGAGAAGACCACACATTCTGAGGGATCCTAGGGGCTCTCTGCTC